ATTTTTATAACAAAGCAAACAATTTTGTATTTCTTCATGGGCGGCTGAAGAAGTATTAACATAAGTTTCATGGTAGCAATATTTCCCTTTTAAGATAGAAAAGTAATTTCTAAGAGGTCAAAATTATTCTTTTCTAAGTGTAGCTACATCATTTATAATGCAATGCATTTTAAGAATTAGAAAAGTTTACTTTTTTAAAGACAGTTGACAGAAACTTGATCATAAAGTATTTGAATGTTTTTTTCCTTAAAAAATATCATGATTTAGCATTATATAACTGTTCTAAAATATCTTAACCAGACGCTATTAATCAAATAGCAAAAGTGCTAAATTTCTGTCATTTTCAAATCGTACTTTTACTTCGTCCGTCGGTACAACATATATTTTTTCTTATTTTTAGCTCACCTGAGCCGATGACTCAAGTGAGCTTTTCTGATCAAAATTTGTTCGTTATCTGATCAAAGTTTCACATAAGAATATATAGGAAAAATCTTTAGAAATCTGTTCTCCAAACCATTGGACCAGGAAAGATGACACTAATGTGGAAGCATCCTCAGGTAGTGTGGATTCAAGTTTGGTCAAATAATTACCCCCTAGGATAGGACGGGGCCACAATGGCTGATCAAAGTTTTATATAGGAAAACAGGATTAATCTTTCAAAAATCTTCCTCTCAAGATCAGCAAAGCTATGTTTGGTGAACATCCTCAGTTAGAGTAAATTCAATATTGTTCATATCATTACCCCTGGGGGTAAGGTGGGGCCATAATGGGCAATCAAATCTTTACATAGAAATATATAGAAAATTTTGAAAACTCTTCTTCTCAAGTATGGCAAAATTATACATGTGCATGTATGCTTTATTGATATAGTGACATTCTCAAAACAAAATAAAAAATTCAAACCCCCTACCCAACAAGTTAACTTTTCAATACTGAGCTGATTTGATTTTTAAACTAGCCAATGTGCTCAGGTGAGCGATGTGGCCCATGGACCTCTTGTTTTATATTAGCGATATTTTCCCCAGACTTACAAAACTTTTTGTACCAGCTTTTGAAATACGTACTTTAGGAATCTCATGCTAGTTCATGTTAGTGTTTGTTCATGCAAGAGATCTATTCTTTTAGCTGTATGTGCTATTCGATTCAGTTTGCCTAGAAATGTGATCTTTTCAACAGTTTTTGCAACAACAGTGTCAAAGAACTTTTTAAAATCTTACACAAGTAATAAAAAATCAAATTTATGATAAGACCAATAACGTTCTCTTTTGTGACCTTATAGAGGACCTATTTAGAAATCACTTTTTATTCCATTGGCAACAAATTTCTGAAACTTGCACACACGGAGTGATGTAATTCCTACACGTATCATACCACCCTTTTTTCTAAAAAAAAAAAATTGAGCTTATTTACTGCTTAATGTCCTTTTCTGATTATACAAACGTTTTAATATGACTGTTTGGACATAAATTGAGTATAATTTCATAACATCTAAATCTTCTCCAATGCATAATAAGACATTTAATTGGCACTCTGTCTTGAAAAATTACCTGTAAATGAATTAAAGATTGTATAAATTACGTTTTTTGAGATTTACTGATATAGATATACAGAATTTGTGTATATAAAATTTTAAACTTGTTGCTTTACTGCTGAAAGCAACACTTGAAAATTATTATACCCTTTCATATATAAAAGACATTAATGTAGGGAATATTTTGATGGTTAATATTTGTAAAAGTAAATATATCTACTATATATAAGGGATACTGCTAGTATTTTTATGAAAAGTTACTTTAAACAATTATATGTTACGAGATTTAATAAAATAAACTAAAAGACTAAAAAACTTAAAGAATGTATTAAAATCTATTTTGCGCAAACAACACAACCAACAAGAACATTGTTCTCATATGGAGGGCAGGGGAGAGAACCACACACGGTTTTCACAGGATAAAACAACCTTCCGTTATCGTCACGTCTGGATCCTTCGATGAAATCCGGATCATCGTCCAGACAAAGATATTCTGTACTTTCATAGTTATGCCAACTTGATGTCAGGAATCCAGAATACTGTTTTCGCCAGGTCACCGGACATGAATGTTTTCCTGAGATCATGATGGTAGAAGACGCCATTTTGGCACGACAAACGGCACACGGAACATCTTCCTGTATGTGGACGCGGTGAATGGAAAATTGGTATTCTGCTCCATACAGGTGCCCGTAGTCATCACCGTCAATGACGGAAATACCATACGGTAGTCTTTCTGGATCGTGAGGAAGACAAAGAGTGTTTGCACCACCTCCTTTTTCTGAGTAACTCTTTCCACCTGTAAATCCTACATTAAATAATCTTAATTACAGCAAACATTAAACCCTCAGGACAGATTATGAACATATTTATTTAAAAAAATCATTTACAAGCAACGTATTGGTTTAATATATAAAAAAGGAAAATAACGAAAATGATTGATCTCAAAAATTCAATAAACAATGCAAATAAGAGAAGAGAATATAAATATGGACCCCTAGAAATTCAAAGGTAGGACCAGGTGCCTGGAAGGAGTAAACATCCCCTTTTGGTCGGTTACACGCGATGTAAGTGATAATTTTTTAGCTTATTTAATTAGGTCAGATTTAGAAAAAAAGAATGCAGGTTTCTGATTAAGACGAAGGGGTACGAAATCAAAGGAAAACACGTAGAGATATGTAATAGATTTAGAATTAATCTTGGGATCAAGTGATAGGATTTCTCTGCATGTCATTGATTTAGTTGATTTATTTGCCAAACACTGTTTACAGTAACTCATTTGGTAGAGCGCTCGCTCCGTGATCGGGAGGGGTCATGGGTTCGTATCTCGGTCGCGACTGACCAAAGTCGATAAAAATGGATGGCAACTTATCCTTCGCCATGCGTTCTGCACTTGACGTGAAAGTTGCAGGTAGTTCGCATGAGACCTTAAAAACCGAGGTCGTTTATCACGGCATCCGTTGGCACGATAAAGATCCCCCTCTGCTCAATGGCCTTGAGTGCCGAGCAAAGGTCAAAATTTGAAGCTCTTCACCGGTATGTGGTGATGTCTCTAATGAGTGAAAAATTCTCGAATAGGATGTAAAACAACATGAATTTATCAATCAATTAATCATTTGCAAGAGATGTCTTATGTACAGAGCATCTCTAAAACGAGTCAGGCCGTTGTCAAATAAACTGATGATACAAGAAAATCAATAGTCTCTATAAAAGTCAACATTTCGAAAATTCTATTTTTGCTACAATGACCTTAGCAAATGAAATATATTGTTAGGTCAAGTTTCGTCTGCGATATTTTATAAAATTGTAAGTGAAAAAGGAGATAACATTAATAAGAACAGAAGAAAAAGGACATATTATTAATAAGCAAGTTTAAGGGCCAATTACTTCACATTGAATACTCTACTTAATGTTTTCTTTTGTTTCTTTATTACAAGATCTAGAGCATACGGTAGGTGTGACCGATTGACAGAAAGGGCTTACTCTCCCAAGGCACCTGATCCAAACTATACAATTTGCGGGCCTTCGTTAAATCTTATTAACTCTAATTATATGAAGGATATGCAGATAACAAGCAGTATTCCAGATCAAAAGTCCATAAAACATTACAAAATAGGAGCGGAGCAAACACGGAAATCCAATACATCAGAGGTGGGATCAGGTGCCATAGAGGAGTTAGCATCCCCTGCCGACCAGACACATCCGCCATGTGTTCCTTATCATGATCGGGAAATAACGGAAAAATCCGTCGTCAATTCAGTGTAGAAATAATGGACTAAAATTATTATAAAAAACGTCAGTCTGCATTTGACTCAATGATAAACTGTATTTGCTGACAAGGTCATTGTATCGACCATAGAACTTACGAAATGATGAATTTAAAGGAGACTGCTGATATTCTTGTTTCATCAACATGTTTGTCAATAATTTACCTCGTTTTAGAAAATTAACATGTAGAGCATGCCCTTGCGTATCGAATCAACTGAGATATAATTATATATTCCGTATACAGGTATATTGTGCTGAATGAGAAAGTGATATTTTTGTCTCCTTTATTTATTTTTTCCCGGATTGTCCGTTATATGCTTGATTCTTTTTTAAGATTCATTAAGTTTAGTTAAATACTTGATACTTGAAATACGTTTTGTGTTGATAAAGCTGATTTATATGTTTTATATTAGCAGTCATGCTCGTCTCAAGCATCTTTCCATATTAACTTTGATAATTTTGATAAACATTTACATTTGTAATTGTATTTGTTGCCATTCAAGATCTAGAGGAACCTACTATTATTCTCCCTCTGATGCAAAAATATAATTGAAAAGTTCACCCATATATCTGTAATATATTATTTTTTGTAAGCAGTATCTTACTCAGCTTAAATTGAATAGTTTAATGTTTAGACACAAATATTCATAACTGAATAAATGAATATTACCATTGTAAACCATTTCTGTACCATTCACATTCGGGCACGTATTCTTTCCCCAAACAGTAAAGGTTGCACCTAAATGTGTTTGAGAAAATCATAGATGAGCTGATATTTTATTATATAGCATACTAGTATATATTTGATGCACTGAAAGCCTATTTGATATATATGTTTGAAAACATGCTTCTTAGAAATTTTTGTTATTGAAAAATCTTATTATGTATCTTATTACTATTAAAAAGACTCAGATCTATTCTTGAGCTATGCCTCGATAACTTTCATTTGATTTAAAAAAATTACCATGATCGTTAGATTGTAGAGTAAGAGCGGAAACCTGACCCCTCAAAGACGATATTTCGTTATTCTGGTTGGCCAGCTGAGATTTAAGGGCGTTTATTTCCTGGTCTGTACTGGTTTTTAAGGTGTTCACTTCCTGTAGAAGATGTTCGACTTGGGATTGTAGAAGTTGTGGATCATTCAGGAGTAGTCGTTCGTGTCTTTCCAACCCACGGCATAACTGCACAATTAAACTGCAAAGTATTAACACGAACGGTAATTTACAAACCTTAAACATGGCTGATTAATAGATAAGTTGTGAATTATATTGGTGACATTATATTTTTATCTACAAGACAGAATTGCTAGAACTTTCTTATCGTAAACCCAATGACATAAATATGAATGCACTGAAATATATGTTATCACAATCTTTCAATATCTATAAACAAGGCCAATAATAAATTTTACTAGCCCTCTGTAGACTCAAGATGAAAATAATCGATGGTAGGTATGTGGGAATTTTATTTTTACATTTAATTTTAACATCAATTTTCATTCAAAATCAAAATCAAGTCAAAATCTGTTTTTCTGAATACATAAAAAGATTATTGTTTCTTAAGATTAAATAAAATTAAGTCAGACGATTTTTAAATAAGTCGTTGGGATAGGGCAACCAAAACATTTTTCAACATGTTTCTAATTTTCTAGTCTTGTACTGTTTTAATGTCTAACAATAATTTAAGTGCTGATAAAGATATTATAGAATAGACACAAAAGAAAAAATAATTTACCATTGTCACTTTTTATTTTAATAATTTGTCTTTTTTGTTTGGATTTAAAGAGATCTTGCTTGAAAAAAAAATATAGATATAAAAATATTAATAATTGGCGATTTATGTGTTTTGCAATTGGTCGGTAGTTTTACAACATTTTATCATAACGTGCACATTGTGCATAATGTTCTTTTTAAATAGTGAGAGATTAAATCAAAATATATTTACACTTCAGAAGACTGTGTATACACGAGATTTTTGTGTCTTTCTAAACGCAAATAAATTGTTGAAAAATATTTTTAAAAAACTTTCAGAGTTCGGAAGAACGTTGAAATTCGTTGCTTATATACTAAACTTTGGCTAATCGAATTCTAATATCAAATTAGAATTAATGAAAAACAATTTAAAGAAATGAAATGTATAGGTGTTTTTGTGAAACAAACAAAAGTGAATTTTCATGGGTTGTAGATTCATTTTGAAACAAAATATTTTTTTTCCAAATTGAAACAAAATATTTTTTTCCAAAGTTTAAAGTGCTTAAGAAGATTATTGCGTAGTTTGCCTTGGAAACAATTTATTTTAGGTTACTTCTTAATGAATGTAGACGACATTTTTATGTAACTTCGCGATAGAGACTCCTTCATTCATAATCAACAAACACGTAATTGATTAGAAAGTTTAAACAACCCGTTTGAAATTAAGGATAAAGTTTGGAATTTAAGGTGTTTCATTTACTTAGACATGCAAACTTCAACACACAGCTATTTCTGGTACATTTCTATCCTACATCATGTGACTTGATATCGTTCTCAAATGTTGAATGTATTACTTCGAATTAGAAAAATGAGTGTTTAAATTACGAATAAAGTTTAACTCAAGCAAGTGTTTGGATATAAAAATACATGTACTTTAAGAATAATATGAAGACACAAAGTTCCTTTAATGTTTCTTCTTATTTTTGATCATTCAAGGTTGGTCAACTAGCCCAAAAACATTTTGCATATCCATTGAAAGAAAGTGAAGGCTTTAGACAGCGATCGATGTCAGAAATAATTCAAAAAATAAAATTTAAGCGGACATGGCGTAAATATGGACTCTTGGAAATTTTTAAGGTTGGATCGGGTTTCTAGGAGAGTAAGCATCCCTTGATGATCAGTCACCACGCCAAGAGGACTATGTATTGACCAGGTAGACAGAAAATCCAGTCAAAATTAGTATAAAACAAAGACTTGCACATTAGTATGAATCCAAAAATGCGACCAAATGATAACTGATATTTGCTTATACGTTCATATAACGACCATTAATATTTGACTTTATGATATGAGACATTTGCGGACAAGGTCTTTGCATCGACGATAAAACTTGCGGAATGCATATGATAACTATAAGCGGACTGTTACATTCTTGTTGCATCATCATACATTTGAAGATATTGTCAATCAGAATGACAAACATCTTTTTATATTTTATATGAATTTTACAGTACACTCTATCTGTGTCTTCAATCAAATAATGTGTTTAACAAAATTATTTTCAAAATAACCAACGCTAAAAACTTTTATTGAGTAATGTGAAGCCGAACACGTATATGCTCAAATTCTGAGCGGTATTCAAATCCTTTAATTTTCTAAAATGATGCTATTTTAATTCTCACGCTATTATAACAGGTAAAAAGGCAAAAAAAATTAATTAAATAAAAAAAAATAATGTAAATAGATATGTAAAAATTTCAGAACCATATTTAATTTGTTGACAAGATATATTTCTTGAATAATTCCTCTCGTTAAATCAAAGACCAGGGCTTCCTCAATGCAGTAGAATATGAATTTTTCAGAACTTGTGTATGTATAATAAAAGTATAAAACTTGTGAACAAATTATTACACCTAAAACCTTGGAAAATGTCAATTAAGATCAGCACAATTGTTCATCTGCAGTCTATATGCAATGTATGCATTTGTATTATCTTCGTGGACACAGTTTACTTAATAGGCGTTTGATAAAACATATGCATGCAATGTTTTATTGTGAACGTCTCCGATGTTTTTTTTTCAGACGATAAATTCGTTAATAAATTTGAAAGAAACTTGATTGCTTTTAACATCTCTAAAACCTTTTACAGGAAGTATTCTATATAGACATGTATATAACCAGTCTCGGACGCATGTGCATTGCATGAACAGTATACTTAATTTAAAGGGTACTGATATATTGATTTGACATGTATAAATACAGTCTTTTACATGGCTTTTCCTTTATTCTACATTACCCGGTAATTTCACAAAGGATATAGTTGTTAAGGGTGATAATATTAATATATATATATATTAATATATTTATTGAGTGAAAAACAATTTTAAAAAATGAAACATATAAATTAGATATTTTTTTTTATTAAAAAGATAAAATAATAACAAATATAAAAATATAGATATATCCAAACAATGCATAAATAAATAAAAGAGTGAAAAAAATATCATAGACTAGAATCATAGATGTTGATCATTTTTAAAATCAACACATATCTTGTGTATCGGACTGAATATTCTTGATTTTCCGTCAGAGGCGCGTTGACATCGACTTTGGAAGACCACCCGTTCGTCCTTGCATACGACAAAATCTGGGGATCCCTCCCGACCTTTCCACGGATTCAACCCATCCGGTGACCCTTTACAGCTGGGAAATCGCACGTGACACGGGATACAGTGAGCTGATTTGCATTGATTTTCCTCATATTCACCTGAAATAGAAACAGGCCAGAGGTAACAAATTGTATGCAATAATCTTGGCTCGGTTTTAAATTCTTAGCAATTCATTATCTTATACTACATAGTATCCAAAAAATGAATTGCAACATTCAGACAACTGTAATATGGGATATTTTTCATTGTGTCACATTTTGAAACTTTGGAATTGGTCTATAATTATTAATAGTTTAAGAGAGCTACTTACATGCATCTTTAGGTTCGTATCGATTTCCACACTGAACTGTGCTGTAGTGGTGGCATCGAACAGAAGTGGATAAGGACATTCCTTGACCCTTGGCTGAGCTATCTTTCCCGAAGGTGACTTTTCTGTTTCACAGTCCTTATATTTGGCACAGCTATTAGCATCAACGAACTTCTCGTCAGAATGCATCGCACAAATTCCTTGAGATTTTTGGAGTATCTTTACACCTGGAAACAGAACCATAAATGTGAAAATTTAGCATTAGTTTACTATTACAGTGCTAACGCCGTCCTTATAATGACAGTGTTTTAGCCCATTTACGAAAATAAGAAATACCCCTCTTACATGTATCTTGTGTTGAGCCTCTTGGAACACAAGATCGCGTGGCAGGGTTAATTACGTAATCCTCTGGACACTTAAAGAGAAACTCGTGTCCATCTTTAACGATGTAGAATTTAGTGCAATCTTCTGGATCCACCCTGAAATCTAAGTCCGTTCTTTGTAGGGCTGCTGAATCCGTTAAACACCAAAATGTAGCGAAAAAGATCGAAAATAAAATTGCATTCATGACTTGTTTAACACCAGTAGACAGTTTTAAGAAAGCAATCTTTCGATTTTGTTGAATTTCAAATTTGATTACCCATCTGTATATCTACAACGTTATATATATAAGAATATACATCCCACGTTATTTGCAGGTTTGTGTGGCGTGTGGTTAGCGAATAAATGATTTTTGTTTATCAAGTGAGTAGGTGATACTTTTAGAACCAATGAAAGGCATGAGTAAGTGTTCACTCTCTTTTACTAATGAAAGGGAACTGTGAAATTCCGACTCTGTTAATTTTACACCTTGTATACCAGTATAGGAATTTAAGGTGTTTTCTTTTTATCGACACGATTTCGGCACGTTGATAATGGTCTATTTATGGACTCCTTGGTCTCTCAGTTTGTTTCCGCTGTCTTGAAATTTGAAAATTACAATCTTTGTTTTTATGTCATCATTTCATAAGTTCTATGGTCGATGCACTGACCTTGTCAGCAAATACAAATTTATCATTGAGTCAAATGCTGACTGACGTTTTTCATATTAATTATTAGTCCATTATTTATACACTGAATTGACGACGGATTTTTTCTGTTATTTTCCGATCATGACAAGAAGCACACGGCGGGTGTGATCGGGCGGTAGGGGATGCTTATTCCTCCATGGCACCTGAACCCACCTCTGATTTTTTGGAGGTCCGTGTTTGCTCTGCTCCTATTTTGTATTGTTTTATGGACTTCTGATCTTGAATACTGTTCGTTATCTCCATATGTTTCGTTGATGATGTCTAATTAGTGCACCATCAAGCTGAAATGAATGCTCATATAAATCAATAATTTTTCTTATTCTTATTAAAATGGAGACTTCAAAGGTTCATAAAATAAATGCGATTTAAGGTAGTCTCTTTGAGAAACAAAACAATAAATAACAACACTGACAGACACATGATTAGCTGTCGTTTATCACTGGATAGCGATATGATTCATAACACTGTATAATTTCATATATGTGCCAAAAGGTGAATAACCATTAAACAAACTCCAATGAGTCAACAA